TGATTTTTATATTCATCTCAATATATATTATTTCTTACCTTATCCAGTTCATCGAGTATGTTCTTTTTTGTTGTCGGATCGATAATCTGTAAACGATGCTGGTGTCGCCGCCTACTAGGCTGCGGCACTGGCACAGGTTGTGGCGTCACATTAGATGACATAACACCAACCATTGGCGGAACACTAACGTTGACACCCACACCCACTTGACCACTCGCTGTTCCACCAACACCAATAACTGTATTAGCGCCTGGCTGTACAGCACCTGTTAGCAATTGTAATTGAGATGGTGTCGCACCACCAGGACCAGCCAGCGGTCCATTGGGTCCACCGGGCTGCACAGATTGCATTGTATTGCCTAAGTTTGTGTTAACCGCAACACCACTGCGTGAATGCGGCGGCGGCTGTTGCTGTGGCAATGGGGAGAGATATGGATAGGTATAATAGGGTATGGGCGTGTGCGTATATTGTAAATGTGGCGCCGGATACGCTGGTTGTCGCTGGCCATATTGTGGGTAATTCTGCAATACCATATTCGGGTACATCGGTGGCATATGAACATGGGGGGCACGGGCTCCACCGCCAGTGCCGTTGCCACGGGGCGGATTTGATGCTGCCTGTGGTCCACGATAAATTCCACTTTGTTGATTTGAACGACTGTTTCCAGAACTGTTGTTGCCAGTCGAAACATACTGTAAAATGCAATTAGTAGTTTTAGTTTTTAGTCTTCTAAACGCCCTCCAGATCACACACATATATTTCAAATGGACGACTATGACTAGCGACCATATAATAACCATAAGCATCCTGTACAATCCATTCGAACTAGATAACATGTATACTAATACTAATATGAATTGCTCTGGCAATGGGACCAATTGAAGAGACCAATTACCTACCTATTACAATTACAATACATTAAATTCCCAAATCTCTTATGACGGGAGCTTATCTATGATTCCATAGGGAAGACCGCAGAATACTCATTCACATCCCAATTCCTGATTTGCTATAAATATTATATATATCCTATGTATACATTCTTTTTGTGATTATCAAGAGAGGATGGTATTAGCAATTCAGTAGCTAAGTGTTGAGTTTCTAGCTCTAGTCCTGTATAAAATTCGGTTTTGGCGATTTGCCCAATATGCCAGACCCCCACAGAGGCATAACAATTATTTTCGGGTCGGCAGTAGCTCAACTATCCAAATTTTAAGCTCTAGCTCTTAAACTGTAGGAGATATAAACTTTTGCGATTTGCCACGCCCCCTGTGAGTGTAGATATATCCGCTATATCTTTTTGGTCTTGGGTGGTCAACCCGAGTATATGTACCAAATTTCAAGTCCCTAGCTTCAATAGCGACGGACGGACAGCTAGACGGACATTGCACAAAACCAATATACTCATTTCACTTTCGTGAATGAGTATAAAAATACCAGATCTGTGCTTGCTACGTTTTTTGGATTGCCACGCCTACTTCGGACTGTAACATATAACTAATGGAACTATAATACCCGGAATTCGCATATTCAACAGATTCTGGGTATACAGCAGAAATTGTAGAGTTGCCTACCTCTTGGGATGCTTGTTGAAAATTACTGTTCGATAACAGATTATTGTTCTTGTAATCGTATTTTCTATTATCGATACAACTGACGTTGATACCGACGCCGACACTAACCCCAACCGCCCCCAACAGACTTTTGTCATGCATATAGGCAGAGGGATTATTCGATGAGCCGAGTGTTAGACCATGAGAATTGGCCAGAGTAATGATGCTTTGGCTGCTGCCATTGATAATGCTACTGTTGTTACTGCAACCATTATTACTATTGTTGCCGACACCAGCAACAGTTGTCAGTTGCTGTTGTTGCTGTTGCTGACTGTTATTTGGACCGACTTGACTGGACTTGGAGATGTCCGATAATAGACGACAATTTGTTTCGATAATTCCACTATTGCTACCGCAAGCAGCAGCAGCAGCACGATGTCCTGTTAGATTATAAATGGCGGCTGTATTCAAGTCCTGCTGAATCGTTGCCGAATTCAGATTTAATTGACAATTGTTAACAGCCATTATATTGCCGCCGCTACAGATAACTGTTGTCGATTGCTGCTGCTGTGCGTTAACAGATGTTAATGGCCTGTTAACGACATTTGCGTAGCTTTGCTGCTGCTGCGACTGTTTTTGTTGTTGTTGTTGCTGTTGTTGATGTTGCTGCTGTTGATGTTGCTGCTGTTGATGTTGCTGCTGTTGATGTTGCTGCTGCTGCTGTTGTTGCAGATGTGTCTGATGTACCATATGAGCCGTCGCTTGTTGGGCATTTGTTGGCGTTGTTGCAGCTGTTTTTAGTATGGAAACAACATTGTAAGCCTTGTTTATCTGAAACTGTGGCTGTGACGTACTATGTTGCTGTTGCTGTGGCTGTTGCTTTGTAGCAGACATTTGCGTTGCGTACTTTTTAGTCTTTTTATTTGTCGGTAATATCTACAACAGATTTAAGCAGCGCCCAATCATCATTGGATAGTGGAAATATTTAGAAGATATATATAAAAAAAAAAAAAAAAAAGAAAACCCAACGAAACGAGCAACTAAATAAAAAAGCCAATAATAAAAAACAACCAAATATTGACGTCATACATAAATAGGAGATTGTGTGCTTCCCTTTATATGAACTGCTTATTTATTAAATCAAGTTTTTGAAGCAATTTCAATTTTATTTTTGTTGCAGGTGGCTCCTAGATAGTAGTAGTTCCCAAACTAACGGTGTGATAGTGTTTTTTGTTGAATATTACTATATTAAAAATCAAAACTAATCGATGACTACTTTGAAATATAAATTACTTTCATAAAGCTATTTTTTGCTCCACATCTTTACAGATGTGGAGAGGAAGAAATATGATTTACAAATCAGATTTAATGGGCTTACTATATATTTCGAATATTGTAGAATCTTCAAATAGTAATTATTTTAATGATAATAAACTATTATTACCACCTCAGACTTTTTCGGATATGTGTAGTCTGATGCTTGTTACCTTAAGTATGCTGGTCCTTGTTATCATTGTATGCAAATCAGTTACTAAACATAAGATTTAGATAATATGAACAAATCAATTTCTCGTTGCGAAAATATTATCGAAAGAGATTTAAACTAAGTAATTATTTTAGAGTGAGAGCAACACATATACATATATGCGTATAAGAATAAAAGTAAAAATATAAGTATAAATAAGCAAGTAGAGGAAATTAATATGGGAACTTACCATATTTTGAGGCTGCATGGCTTTAGCAATATCGGCTTGTGTTGATAGTGTTGGAGCAGATGGTTGCATTACGAATTGACCAATCCGTTTGTTATCGGAAGTCGTCAATCGGTTTATTATACCGTTTTCTTGGCGATCTCCGGGATGACTTTAGACCCCGTTTAGCAATCTGTCACACAACCATTTGATTATTCTTCTGTGAATACTAATATTATTATTATGAATGTTGATGCGGATTGTGATGGCCCGTACCTGCAAATATGTTGTCGATATACAAAGTAGTTCGGCGAGGCAATTCTAATAATTTTGGAACGAGTACTCAGCCTGCAAATTTTAAAATCATATGCATTATTTTATAGTCTACAGCAAAATATTGAATTGATATTTTATATACACCATTTTTTAATATTTAACATTTATGTTCAATAAAAAATTAAAATTGATTAAAAATTAATTAGCAGTAAGGCTTTGCATTTTCTTTCACTGTTTAATCATGCTTTTACTACATACATGTATTTGCCGACGTTGCGACGTTGGCGCACATGCGACCGACAGGGAAGCGCGAAGTGAGAATGAGGGGAAGAGAGGGAGATAGAGAGATTACCTGAACAACTCTCGAACGACGGCGACACACAAAGAAAATGGAATAGTTAAAAAAAAACTGTGTGAACTTTCTGTGTTTTGCGCTCTAATATTGAACTTTAAGTTAAACGATTTCCTTAACACTAATTTTTAAAAGCTGCACATTGTATTTGCATTATTGTTAATCATTTATATGCGATGAGAGAGCGCAACGTCAACTAATTGCATTGTGGTAAGAAATGTCATCATGTAATTTTACTTTACGTCCGCTTTCGTTCTCAAAATGTATTTTACCTGAAGCATTCGTCACTAGAATATTGAACCACTTATATACAATAGTAAAAACAATTATCGCACTCCTTATATTGACTTGGACAGTAGTAATCTAAGTTCTACTCGTCTTTTTTATGTTTATTTCCAAAAACAAATTTTCTATCAATTTCATTCCACATGCAATGTGCTGCCTTGGAATGGTAATATCTATCAATATACATCGATATATTTTGTATCAGACATTGGCATGGTTGATCCCACTATTTATCGATATCTCTTTCCTGCTACAGTTCTTTGGTATTTTAGTATTTCGCTAATATCGCACAAATAAAATAAAATTAGTATTTTGAAAGAGCACAAGGATATTACAGTAATCCAAATTACAAACTGCAAACAGCTGGTTGCCGCATTGATAGTTCCTCAAACTGAAATTTCTTTTATTTATTATATTTAGATTCAGAAATAAAAACAAAACCTTAATATGTACATACATATATGCATATATAGCACTATCCTTTACTGTGCACATATTCTGACGAAAAATATCGATCTATCATCAAAATGATAAATCTAAATTCAACAGGCCCATATACGCGCTCAACTCAATCAAATTTGAAATTATTTACAATTTTTCTCTCGTGAAATTTAAAATGAAAACAAAATCCTATCCGATAAATAGGTTATATGTCATACATGAAAACGAGGATTACTCAAAAATATAGAGCTTAATCGAAAAATATGCCTCCTGGCCTTAATTTCTGAATAATTAATTTCTTATTGTTTGGGCTGAATTAAACAAAAGCCTGAAGTATTGGATAAGAATATAATATATATTATTTAACCTACAATAATTTGCATTATTTTTTACTGTAAAAACATGTATATAGAAAAAACCCAAGTTTATGAAATAGAAATAGAATATTATATATGTATATGAACGTAAACTCCCGTGTATTAACTATTTCTTTCTTTATGTTCGCCTGTTTGCTAGGTGCCCACATACTTACTATAGTATGAAAAGATGCAATAAACAAATTTCTCTTTATGAAATGAAAGAGCAAAGCTTAGAATTAAGCTCTCTCTCGGTGCAGGACGACTTCTACTGAGTTGTTGGGCATGTATGTTGTTTTTGGTAAGAGAGTATGTCGGGACATCTTTGTCTTTTTTATGTTGGAATGTACTCTTTGAGATCTATGACGACGGCCACGTTGCTGCAGTGTTGCTCGTGCTTTACAAAATGGGTATTCAAGGAGAGATGGACAGTTAGATGGCTGCTGTGGGCTGTTGCTGCTTCTGGTGCTGCTGCTGCTTGTGCCGCTGCTTGTGCTGCTGATTGATACTGTTCTTAGCCATGCTGCTACCACAGCGGCTCCTATTAATGTTGTTGTATTGCTGTCGTGGACTCTGCTGCTGATGCTGCTGCTGCTGCTGCTGCTGCTGCTGCTGCTGCTGTTACTGCGTGTACAAGAACTGTTTGGGCTTATCATGAGTAAATCAGTTTATCTGCTGTTAATGCTATGGACAGATGTGTGCGCTTTTCGCTCGGTCTTATGATAAGTGTCAACTGAAAAGAAAAAATTAATAAAGTGAATACAATCCAAAAGCCTCTCTAACGAATAAGTACATATGTAATATTCACGTACACACATATACACGCATACACACTAAGATATATACGAGTGACATACAAGAAGCGTAATCCAATAACGGTAAGTTCTTAGTGCATAATCTATTACTTAGTTAGTTCAATTGAATGACGTACCAATAGCACACACACTCACACACATATATACCATCAATACTTTACGCACAAATAACTATGTATGTATGTATGTATGCTGACATACATGCATATATGCGTACCTTAACACTCACACAGTAACAGCGGCATGGCACATAAATTGGAGGAATAATGGACCAGAAGGGAATTTGATGTTTTTTTTTTCTAATGCATATGTTTACAACAATACAGAAATGTATAATATAAATATATATTATTATTATTATTATTTTTTTTTTTTATATAATTAGTATTATTATTATCATCATAATTTATTTAATATTATTTTTTTATTTATTATTATTTTAATTAGGGCTGACAATTGAGAAAACAAGTCTTTTGTACATATATACATATATTACATATCGCTTATAAACCCAATGCATTGCATTCCATTGGGCCATATTATTATATTATATATGTATATAATAATAATATGTATATATATATATATATATGTATATATATATATAAATAATTTTTTTTTTTTTTTTTTTTTTTTTTTTTTTGCTGTTTTGCGCATTGCCATCATCGGTAGGACCATTCTTCCTTGGTACTTCTGGTAAAGTTCTTGCATCAAAGCTTTTTCTGGGTCGCAATTGTTATTTTTTTTTTTTTTTCACTTAACACACTAAAACAGACACACACGCATTGTGTGTGTGATGCCTCGCTGTAAGCTTGTAGAAAGCATCCCCAACTGTTATGCTCTTTGAATACTTTCCATCTCTCTCACTCTCTCAGTCACTCTCTCGTGGGCTTGCTCTTAATTTCTGCAAACTGTTAACTCTTAGCCATAAATTTGAATATCTCAACACTTCACTCTTCGAGTTAGCCAAATATGTTGAAATACGTTTGATTATATAGATACGTATAGGTTTACGTGTATTTATACACCAATGTACATATTCCAGGAATGCAGTCTAAAGTTCAAGTTTGTCGCCACACTTGAGTTTCCAACTCCAATCTAAATAGATAGTATAATGGTGTGGAATGGCTTTATACAATGATATATAATGTATTTGTTTTATTGTTCAGGCCGTCTCCACTGAGTCGGCTTAACTATGGCTGCCTATCATTGGACTGCTATGTATAGAAATAGTAAGATAAAAGACTAGTAACATAGAAAATGAGCAGACAGGCAGGTATCAGTTTACTTATAATTCGATTAGAATTAGAATATTCGTAGAGATGTAGGCAGTATACAGTATATAGTCAGCTATCACTTCTACATCATAAGCACGGGCTTATGCGTAGGGTGACCATCCGTACTGGAATTCCGGGACATGTCCCGCTCTTGGAGGTAATCTCCCGGTGTCCCGACCTGACACGAAATTGTCCCGATTTTCTATTGTCTCGATACAAAAAAAAAATAGTCATTTTGACAAAATGCAAATTGAAGAAGTTTGTGTCGAGACAAGTCAAGAATTTTGTTTAGAAAAACAACGCAGATAAGGTAGTACAGTTTTTTGCAACAAACGTACACTCGTGTTGTTACTGGGAAGTATTAAAAATAGCTCAAATCCTGCATGCGATTCCAGCGCACAATGCGCAAATTTCGAAAGGGTTTTTTCTTACTAAAGACACAGTGGTCAGACGAAAGAAATAAGTTACTGGTGGAGAGTGTTAAAAACATCCATATTTCGATTTAATTTTGTGGACATAAAAGCATTAAATATTGATGAAAGAAATGTTATGTACATATGTCCGGCAAAATAGGCAGTGTGGAGAAGTATATGTCTGGCATATGTATGTGCGTCTTGTGGAATTAGTCCCAAGATAATGTAAAATTATGCTAAATATGAAGAAAGTAAAAGTTGAATGTATGTGTGAATCTGTGTGACAAATGATTGATTTAAAATGTTTTTTTTTTTTTTAGGGAGGGTTCAAGGTTTCTCCCTGTCGAGCAGTCTCGACAAGAGCCTTCTTACTTGTTGTAATAATATTAGCAAGATAATAATATACTGTTATCATCGAATAGTCATAGAAACAGTAGAGAAAAGAGAGTACTGTTCTGGCTGAAAATTGGAGGGTGTATACATGTAGTGTGCGATAGACCTACTAACGACTCCTCCACATCCCTGCACTCTTCTTCAATCATATAACAAATTAAAAATGAAAGTAATTATAACTCACAATAATTTCAGATGATTTGCTCAGAGCGAGTGTCTGTACTAAAATAAAAAACAAAGTATATATGGCGCAGGGCACATAACCCATATACCTGAACGTGAAGAAAACTAATTGCAGAACTGAAGAAGAAAAATATGTGGGATGTGTTCAGGATGAAGTCGTCCAATGTGTGGAATGTTCCAATTGGGATCATGCTCATGTCAGCCACATGTTGGCTTTCGCAACTGGATATAGCCGGCTCAACGCAAGTGCAGGACACTGTGTCCGTGTCGTTGCCAGGTGATATAATACTAGGTGGACTGTTTCCGGTCCACGAGAAAGGCGAGGGTACCCCGTCATGCGGACCAAAAGTCTATAATCGCGGTGTTCAGCGTTTGGAGGCGATGCTCTATGCCATTGATCGTGTTAATAACGATACAAATATATTGCCCGGGATAACAATAGGTGTGCATATACTCGACACCTGCTCGCGGGATACGTATGCCCTGAATCAATCGCTGCAATTTGTGAGAGCCTCACTCAACAACTTGGACACATCCGTGTTCGAATGCTCCGACACATCAATACCTCAGCTCAGAAAAAATGCGACATCTGGCCCCGTGTTTGGTGTTATTGGCGGATCGTACAGTTCGGTATCACTCCAAGTGGCTAATCTATTGCGACTCTTTCATATTCCGCAAATATCGCCGGCATCAACTGCAAAAACTCTATCGGATAAATCCAGATTTGATCTATTTGCACGTACCGTGCCACCCGATACATTCCAATCGGTTGCTTTGGTGGACATCATCAAGAACTTTAATTGGTCGTATGTATCGACAATACATTCCGAGGGCTCCTATGGCGAATATGGCATTGAGGCCTTCCATAAGGAGGCCACCGAGAGACACGTTTGCATTGCTGCCGCCGAGAAAGTGCCGAGCGCTGCCGACGACAAAGTCTTTGATGCCATCATAGGGAAACTCCTTAAAAAACCAAATGCCCGCGGAGTTATCCTTTTCACACGCGCCGAAGACGCCAGACGCATTCTTCTGGCTGCTAAGCGTGCTAATTTATCCCAGCCCTTCCATTGGGTGGCCAGCGATGGTTGGGGTAAGCAGCAAAAACTGCTAGAGGGCCTGGAGGACATCGCCGAGGGAGCCATAACTGTGGAACTGCAGTCGGAAATAATTGAGGATTTCGATAGATATATGATGCAACTGACGCCCACATCCAATAAGCGCAACCCCTGGTTTGCTGAGTACTGGGAGGACACCTTCAATTGTGTGTTGCCAACGAGCTCCGCAAGTGACAAGATCAATAAGGGAGATGACAGCAACCAGAAGGAGAAAGTTGTTTGTGATGATAGTTTCAGGCTATCCGATAAAGTTGGGTAAGTTCTGAGCAGAGGCATAAATTAAGATTATAATTAAGATAAACTACTATTTTATTTAGGGTTAGGTAACATAAATTAAAAATAAAACTCAAATTCAAATTAAGAAATATAGAAGATAACAAGTAAGAAAGCTATAGTCGAGACTGCTCGACTACGAGATCCCCTGAACCCTTGGAGCAATAGCTATTTCAATAATTTTTCGCGTCTTTCAGTTTACACAAGAAATATGCACACACACGCTTTTACAAAAATACGCTTTTTACAAACATTGGGGTGAGGGGGTGGATATGGGGGTGGGGGGTAAATTTTAACAAAAACCGAAATTGCATAAATTGCATATTAGCATAAACCAAAAAATTGGAGACTCTAGCAATAAAGATGTAGGAGATATAATTTTAAAACTGGTTTTCGATAAGGGTTTTTATCGATAAAAAAAGATCGGGATGAGTTATCGATTTTTAATGATAAACTTGATATGCGCGCTGTAATTACGGACATTTAAAAAAAATTTTGAAGTCTCTAGCTCTTATATCTTCTGAAATCGACGCGTTCATACATACGGACAGACGGACGGACAGACGGACGGACAGACAGACGGACAGGGCCAAATCAACTCAGCTCGTCGCCCTGATCAAGAATAAATATACTTTATGGGGTCTGCCACGCCTCCTTCTGCCTGTTACATACATTTCAACAAAACCATTATACCCTGATTTCCCATTGAAAATGGGTTCAGGGTATAAAAATATATCCCTAAAACAGTTACTACTCCAGCATTTTCGGGCGATGTAAAGGTGCATTTCTTTCTTCCCAATATTTGAATATTTTTATACCCTGAAACCATTGACAATGGGATATCAGGGTATAATGGTTTTGTTGAAATGTATGTAACAGGCAGAAGGAATCATCTCAGACCCCATAAAGTATATACATATATTCTTGATCAGGACAACGAGCTGAGTCGATATAGCCCTGTCCGTCCGTCCGTCCGACCATCCGTATGAGTGCGTCGATCTCAGAAGCTATAAGAATTAGAGAGCTGAAATTTTGAATGTAGGCTCGTGTATACCATACGCAGTAAAAGTTAATCATATTTTTTTGATAACTCATCCGATAACTTTTTTATTGAGATGATCGAAAAATTGATTTTGTTTTTCAGCCTAATTTGAGCTCTTTTAGATCTGCAAACTTAAGATTTACTGTCTATATACATATAATGAATACAAACATGTTGTAATTTACAGATTTTTGATACCACGCCCCCTTCGCTCCCATTTAGTAAAACACGTATTTCAAGTACCAGAGACTTTAGAATGCTTTAGAATGTACACACATTCTAGTCATATGATCACGCTCTGAAAGTTTCATTAAGATTGTTCGTCTACAAAAGAAATTATTCAACTAATAAATTCTCATAATATTGCTCACACTGCAGTGCAGCCCAGGCGCT